CCGGCCTCCCGCCCGCGCCTCTCCCCCCCGGCTGACCCACCTCTGTGTGTACGAGCCAGGCTGCTGCAAAACCTTGTTTTTCTGAAAAGCCAAAATAGAAATAGACTTATGATTCCTTTAGATCCTTTAAATATGCTCGTGACATATAACCGGGAGGCTTGTAGGAGGCTTATTTTCCCTTTGGTACTCCAGGTTGAACAGAAGTTGAGGTTTGCCCATCATGTACGGCCTCGGCTTGAGAGGCTCCGAGCAGGACGCCGGGTTGTAGGACAGCCGGTGCTGCGGGACTCGGCAGCCCTAGTCCTGTCACAAAGCTGGGCCTGGTCCCCTCTCGCGCACCCTTCTGGTTCTCACTGAATAAACCTCCCTCCCTCCCTCCCTCCTCTCTCCTCAAGAGGTTCAAAACACTTCTTATGAGTTGGATTCTGATTTGCAGACTCAGGACTTTACCTCTCCTTATCGTTCTTGTTGCTTGCTCTCTGAAGACTGATAAGGATTTTCCGGGTGTTTGCAGGTGGTCTCCAGGCCCAAAAGGTGGCTGTGCCTCAGGTAAGGCGGAGAGCAGCCAAGAAAGGGTTTCTCTGCCATTTCCCGTCTGGAGCTCCTCTTCTGCTGATTGCTGGGGGTGGGGAAGGAGAGAGGGCTACAGCTTTCCGACTTCTCCACCCAGCAAAACCCAACTGCAGTGGTGGAATGAATTAAGGTGATTAGCCTTCCTACAGTCTGCCTTTAAGGTACGATAATTTGGTCAATATGAGTAGATGGACAATTAACTGGAGGAGATACAGGGGTGGCATCATGGAAGATGGGAAGCAAAGGACAACTGGCATGGAACGGGGAGATCTCAAAGTTAGCAGGAGCAGAGTTCAGGAGGCCATGCTGCACGGTGTCACGTGGCTACGCTACTGTCTCTAGCACAAGCACAGGCATTTTTACTAGCAGGCATTAGAGCTAGCATGCAGTTTAAATGATTAGCCTGTGGACAACCGAGAGTTGACTGCGTTTTCATTCACCAAAATCATTGACATGTTGTAACTCCTAAAAGTGAGCTGTCGAGTTGCTCTGTGATGTGCTTATTCGGGGGCTGCTTGCAGGGGCAGGTAAGTTTCAACTGTAGCCATCTGAACAGCATCTTTTTGCTGAAACAAACATTAGTAACGTAGTGGCAAAACTTCAGCGTCTGTTAGGAAAAAAGCTAGCATGGAAGTTTCCAAATGCACTCCAGTTACTTTAAACTAGGTGCACGTTGTGCTTTTTCTTACTGTAAATTTAATCTTACAATTAATTGTCGGTATGTGTGAGGAGTCCGGAAACTTGAATGTGAAGTCAGTTCAGTTCTTATCAGTCATCCTCCAACAGACAGGCATATAAGGAAGACTGTGCTGCCGAGTGGGAAATTACTGGAAGAGACGGGCAACCTCACTAACATTTGGCTGGATCTTGCTGTACAACCATAGTCAAGGGAAAAGTATTCAATGTGCAGCTGACCAGCACAATGTAATCGTTGGGTTTTTTTTTTCCACCCACTAAAATAATCTTTGAGTATGTTCCAAATATTTTCTGTAACTCTCTTTTCTCCTGTAAGTAGTCCTCCCCTGCCCAAGAGGCAGAGTCAACTAATGCTCAAGATTATTAACGGAGAGCACAGAGGGATGGATGTCTTCAGGGCTGCACCATGTTGCCTCTTCCAGCGGCAACTGATTTACCTGGAAAGGCCACTGCCCTCAGCTTATCTGCAGGTACTTGTTGCCATGCCTTTCCAGTGATCTTCGTTTAAATCAGTTGCGGTCAAAATGAGCTGGGTTAGATGTGCAGGACAGGCATAGTAGGGGAATGGCATGGCCACGACCGCCTTTGTGTTAAGTGGCAGCATACTCGCTGTGGCTGTTTCTAACAGCTGCCTTGTGCTGGCTGCTTTAAAGGGAGAACTGAATCTCCCTGCCGTTCGCTCTCCCACTAAATACGCATCTGAAATACGTTAAGTGCTGTATTTCAGTAAGTTGCTGTATCTTAGTGCTGTATCTTAGCTGCTAGCAGTACTCAAAAAGGTCTTAGTGCTGTTATCTTAGCTGCTAGCAGTACTCAAAAAGGACATGTTAAACCCTTGCCTTTATCTTTCATGGTCGCTAACAATACATGCTGCTTCTGTGACTTAGGCACTTTGGCTTTTGAAGGTTTTGTCAGCTTGTGCCAGCAGTTTTAACAGTAATTCAAATGATTTGCCCTGTATCTCACAGAACGTTCTGTAGGATTATAGTTTTCTAACAGGGACACCTAGTGGTAAAATTATCTTTTACTTAAAAATATATTATTTGAGTCCTTTTCTCTGTCTGCTATTTCTGTACTTGCTACCTAACGTCATTATTTAAGCAGCAAATTTCTGATGCTGCCATTAGAGAGCATCTATTTGCTTATCAATGACAAGCCAAACTCTTCTCAAATCGTGGCATATAATGCTTTCCCATGTGACTTTTTTTTTGGTAAAATAAATACATTTTTGTAAAAGCCCTTAATTTATCCTTTCTTTCTTTCTTGTTATCACTGTTCCTTAGTAGAAGAACAAGGTGTTTACTTGGAATAAAGAACACGTACATGTAACACAGATAAAAAGACAGATTTGCATGAACTAGTCAGAGGGTCACTAGTCTAATACACTGATACATTTACCGTCAGAGGGTCGTGTAAAGAAGGTGGATAAGGAATTTTACAAGTTTGTCATTCTGCAGGGACTGTTTGCGGAGTCATTCTTGGGTACTCGGGTTCACCACGATGCCTGCAGGGGCTGAAAGGAGTCTGCCTCTCTTGCTCTGCTCCCAAGGATGCTGGAGTATCATGGACCATATGCTTCATGTTTTGTCATGTTTTAGAAAAGCATCAGATGCAACTTTTTAATACCACTTCACAACAAAATAGTGAAACACATCAATGAGCATCTGTTTTGTAGTGTAAGATAGTAGCATACTCCTTTGGTTTAACCATGGGGATGCATCTGCCACATAGGTTTTCTGTTCCCTGCAGATGGAATTTTGATGCAACAACTTCAGAAGTGGTGGAGACAGACAGACATTCAGTAACCTTTGGTAGAAGCAGAAAATGGCAAGTAGGATGTTTAAAGTGAAGCAGATAACACAGCTTGTTTGTGTGGAGCCTGAACTTGTGCCTAGATACAAATCTCTCTTCAGGCCACTCAGCAGGGAGATTGGAAGGGGGAATGGCCTGAATGATAACACAAGGTCATGTGGCAAAACAAAAACAGAGTTGATTGCCAGTCACATAGCTTTATCATTTATTGTATTGGTAAAAGGGTAAATTGTGCCTGACCAACCTGATTGCCTTCCATAGTAAAATGGCTGGATATGTTGACAAAGGGAGAGCAGTGGATGTCACTTACTTCAACTTTAGGAAGGCTTTTGACACTGTCTTTTGCAATATTTCGTATCCAAGTTGGGACATTTGGATGGGTGGATACCGAAACGGTTAAAAACCTGGTCGGATGGTTGGGCTGAGAAGGTGATGGTCAATAGGTCATACTCTGCTTTGAGGCTGGTACCAACTAGAGTAATCAGGGGTCTAGCCTGGGACCCATCCTGTTTAATGGTTTTTTTCAGTGACCTGGAAGATGCTGAGGGAGCTGGGCTGGTTCAGCCTGGGGAAGCAATGACTTCGGGGGTCCTAACAGGAGACTGCTCATGCCTATGGGGAGTGTATCAAGAAAGCAGAGCCAGGCTCTTCATAGCATTGCATGATGGGATGAAGCGAGACAGCAGGCTTGTCTTGAGACAGAGTTCATACTGGATATAAGGAAAAACTTCTTCATGCAGGACAGTCAGGTGGTGGGGCAGGTTGCCCAGAGAGACTGTGCAGTGTCCATCCTTGAGGAGTCTCAAAACCCAACCAAATAAAGCCCTCAGCAGCCTGGTCTGAGCTCAGAGCTGACCCTGCTTTGCACAGGAGGTTGGACAAGTGACCTTCAGAGATCTTCCAAGCCAAATTATTCTATGATTCTATGGTTTTTTACCTCTGTGTGTGTCTCTATGTATGTGTGTATATAAATATATATACATATGTACTCTGAGTAATGGATAATTAGTTACAGTTGTTTTGCAAAGTATGTTCTTGGATTCTAAAGGAAAAAAAAAAAATCTGTGTTGCTCAGCCCCTCTAGTTGAAGGGCCAGAAATACATTCATTATGTTTCAATTGATATTTTTAATTATAGTTGGTATTTCTGAGCCATTTACATGTGAGAGCTAGCTTGTTGGTAAGTGGCATTTAGATAATGAAGTGTTGCATCCCTTTTCAAGACAGCGTAATTCTGTTCTAATATATTAATAACTGGTTTTAGCCTGTACTGTGGCTCTGTTTCTTCACTGTTCCTTTCTAACACCTTTTGAATCTGCTGGACAATTTTAATCAAATTTGAAGGACAGATAGATGTCTCAGAAATAAGTAAGTCACCGAGTGGAGTGACCAAATTAGTCCCTCTGTTGAGGGAAAGGCAGGCACACTTCAGCAATTACATGACTTTTCATTACATCTTTTTTTGGGGGGCTTTATGCAAGTAACAACGTCCTGTTTTACTCCATGGTTGTAAGGACCATAACAGGACGGCTGGGTTATTGGGCTGAGGAGAGGTCTCTGGAGCCAGGGAAGAAGAGAGGGAGCAGCAGAGGACTTGGACCTGCAGGAAACCCAGCTCCCATTGTTCTGCAGCTCGCTTTCTGAGGAAAGGCTTGTCAGCGGTTTTCAAGGTGCTTTGGAGGATACCGTGATCCATTTCATGTGATCCGCTGTCAACATTGTGTGATTTCACTAATGTCACAAGATAGTAGAGCTGATTTCTAGTTCAGGGCTCGTGCCTTGGTATCCTGCTTTGAGTATCTGAATGCTGATGACTTGGAGGCTGAACTTCTCTCATATAAGGAGGGCCCATCTGAAAATAAAATAGGTCCACAGCAAGTGTCACTATGGAAAAATAACTACAGCTTCTGTCTTGAAGAAACTGAATAACCCCCAAACCTCTAAACAGCTTACGTGGTAAGATTACTGTAACAAGACCTGATCCTGAAGCCTTTTCTCTCTCTTCAGTGGCTTTGCTCGGCTATGCATGGCCAGCTGGGGTCAGCCTGTGTCCAGCGGAACACCTCATTTCTCCATTAAAGGTTCAGGACACAGTTTCACTCGCTTCTCCAGAAATAACAGCTTTCATCGCTTCCCTTACCCATTTTATCATGTGTTCATGGTAAGAGCAGGAGCACACATGCTGTTTCTGGCACAGGGGAGGAAATAACCAGTTGGGGAGGCAGCTTCTTTTGGGGACAGTGCTGCCTTAAAATGCTTGTGAAACTACAGCCTCAGGCATTCTTGAGCTTTCTGTTTCACCATCTGAAGGGATGCCATCTACATGTTTTTTTTAAAGCTTCTGAAAAGCTTAGCCTATTTTATGAGGAATGTGTTAGGTATCTTAGATATTTATGTAATTATACTAATGAAGTGGTTTTATTTATTGTTTTCTGAGGAAATGCTTGGTATTTTTGGATTCATGTTCTTCAAAGAGAGGAGATGAATTTCCTGTTAAGATTTTGAATATGATTTTTTCAAATGTCTTCAGAGGAAAAAGTAAACTTGAAGAGTGATTACAGAATATTGGCTAATTAGCTATAGTGTAACTGCTTTAATTACTTTTATCCCTGAAGCCACATGACTGTGCAGATGACTAGCAGATGACTTACTTAAAAAAAAAAAAAAAAGACGTGTTCACACTGCAAGGTTAATGAGCCTAATTAAATATAGTTTTCCTTAGCCAGATACTAAATCATAAAGCTTGGGGGAGTGGGGGAGGGGGAGAATCCAAAGGCAGTCAGTTCTACTTCAAATAATGGTTTTATTCTGATATTCAATGCAAAAAAAAAAAAAAAAAAAAAAGGTTGGAATTGTGAGTGATTTTTCTGAATAGGGACACTTACATTTAAAGATTTGGTGAGACCTCACATGGCAAACTGAAAGTCTATTTAGAGACAATTATGCTGAGACATATTTGTTTTCACTTGCCCACTGCTTTAATTAATGGAGAAGGGGGCTTGAATAAAAGGTCTGTGTTAGACAGAAGTCTCCATCTGCTGCTGCGTATCACTAGAACCTTTGTCCTTCCTTGCCGTGCATTTTTTTATTACACCTTTTTATTTCCTTTGGTAAGCTGCATAATGCCTCACATTAAGTTGTACAGACAGGATGGAGTTCTGATTTCCTTTTAATTATTTAAGGTTTTTTTTTTTAAGTTTTCTGCCTCTGCTGTGCACAGTGGTTCAATATCCCACATTCAAAAACATACTTGGAGATCCAAATTCTATGGTCTTTCAAGCATACTTGGAATCCAAATTCTATGGTCTTTCAAGGAAACTTGCGTGTCAGGCACAAAAATTAGATATTGCACCTTATTGAGTTGCTATGTGTCAGCTACCTTCATGATTAGTCTGGAGTTATTAAAAACAGAAGGTAAAATGTGTTACACAGTGAAAAGGGCTTAAGCCAATGAATTTCATCATATTTGCAAAGAACTAAGAACAGGCAATCAGCTATTGCTGATCAGCTGATACGTGGTAACTTTCACAGGTGACTTTGGGCAAAGATGAGTTAGCAAAAGTCGTAGCTTTTTTTTCACTTCCACTATTCTTCCCCCTCTTTTCTCCCATTGATTGTGAATTTCTTAAACATTACTTCCCCAACGCTCCTCCCCCCTGCCCCCCCTTGCAAAGGGTATTTACACTTGACTATTTCTTTTAAGCTCATCTAGTGTGCAGCGCTCCGTTTCCTGCAGAGATTACTCAGGCCTTCTGAGAAGCTATGCTGAAAAGTCAGGTAGGGGCAGATACAATTAACAGTATGTTTCTGCCAAAGTCCAGCACAAGATGAATCAGACTGAATCTGCTCCAAATAATAAGTAGTGAAGGGTTAACCTGCTCATGGGGGAAATTTTGGTTCTTTCACTTAAATTCACGCTTATGCCCCAAAGAACCAAGAAGATGAAAATCTTCCATGTTTAACAAACTGGATGCTGTCTCCATAGTCTTCCTAACTCTTCTATAGTTTTTATAAATTAATTATTTAGTTGGATTTCTTGGTTGTTTTTCATAATGTAGAAAGAATAGGTTAGGGTAGAGTAACTGAAGCTTCTGGATCTGTATTAGAGAGCAAGAAGCTGAGTACCTCATCTAAACTGCTTGCTTTGATTTTATCACGTTTTCCAAAGGGGTTGAAAGGTCACCATGCTCAAAAGTTATCTTTGTGAATGGGATTATGATTAAAGGATTCCACCTGAGCACTTGGCATATGGTAGGAGAATCACAACACCGAGTTTGTGATTTGTTTGCTTGTTTATTTATTTGTGTTTTCCTCCCCCGTGGACTGTGTCAAATATTGCCTATAATGGCCCCATGGGAAGTGATGTGTGCTGTCTACTGATCACACAGGAGCCTCAACCTTAAAGCAACTGCGGAGGATGCAGAGGTTTCACTAGCTTATATTTCAGCTGTCTTTGTTTATATGTTTTGCATTTCTTGATATTCAAAAAGAAGGAAAGTTCTAGCCATGGGTTTAGTAGCAATAGCTTTTCTCGCCTACTTTCTACATGTCAGTTGAGCTTCTTGCTTTTTTCTCGCCTGCTTTCTACATGTCAGTTGAGCTTCTTGCTTTTGGGGCAGAATGAATAAGCCTGTGGCTTTGAAAGTGGAGGGAAGTAATGAGGGTTTGTGGTTCGACTGGTTTGCAACTTTGCAAGCTCCTCCTTTTCATTTTTGCCATACAGTGAGACTGATGCTAAAGTCTTAAAGAAATCCTTAAATTCCTTAGGATTCCTTTGAAATTCCTTCTTTGGTTTAACTTTTTTTGCTTTTGGCCAACATTTTGACCTTGCTTGTATGTGGTAATAGGAAAGTGGTAGCAAGGTGTCTTACTGTGGTCAGAACAAGATTTCATTTAGCTGTGTTTCATGCCTTTGTCCTGCATTTCCACTGAGTCATCTTTACCCTAAATTGGTTTCTTCAGAGCTTTTTTTAAGTCTAATTAGGAAAACAAGCTTCTATTTACACATACTTTAGCTAGTATATTAGTTCTGCACTTTTTTTCGCTATTATAACTATAAAGTAGGAAGGAAAAAATTTGAGGATAAGATTTCTGTACAAAATTAATCATTTTGGCTATTTGCTTTTTTTAAAGTTTTAAACCTTTTTTCATCAATGTGCTCGAGGGAAATGCAAGTTTAATACAGTAGTGAAGAAGACTCATAGAGATGAGGTGCTCTTAATAAATTAAGTCACCCAGAATTAATTACTCTTAGTATCTGAGCCCATATCCATATACTGACCTTAACTGATGATGGTGTTTGATGATTGATGGTGGTGATTTGCTGATGATTGGTGGTTAATGATTGTTGATGATGTCTTCAGAGTATTTCAATGGATTGCTTATATGATTAGTGTTTAGAAGAATTATTTATGTTTTGGTCATGAGAGATTTTAAAGATGATCTCATTTCTTTTTCCTGTGTACTTCTGTGAGCAGTTTGTGTTTATAAACATTCAAAATTACGCTTTTGGTTTATCATACTAAGCAGAAATTCTAAGATTCAAGGGCCTGAACCCTCAGTTCTCCTTTATCAGTCAGTTACCCTTCATTAAGCAGTGTCCAATTTTTGGTGCTTCTATTTTTAGGCAGTTACATTATTTTAGTAAACGTTGAGTATCTGCTTCTCTTTTGGTCTGGTTATTGTTTATGGATAGTGAAACTCACTGAAATTGTGAGCCAGGCTGTCTGCAGTGGGCATGTGAAGGAATTCAAACGATGAAGATGTTGCCCTGAGTCCTCCACGGTGCTTGGCAAGGTGAGCGCTTCTCAGGCCGGCATGCATCTCGGCAGCTTCCAGGCAGATATGTTGCCCAGGAATTCAGTGCTTTTGGAAACTTGCAGTTAGTCAGGCCCTAGTAGCAAATTCAGTAAAATTAGCTCTAGACAATAACAACTCAAATGCTTTGTTACGCAAGGGTCTGTCCAGAGGTTTTGGTGACTGTGTGGGATACAGTTCCTGTAAGCAAAGATTAACGCACGCAAAAAATGCTGTTGTATCCTGGGTGCCAGCAGACAAGCAAAGGACTGAATGAATGTTACCATATTCTGGAATCAAGAAGTAAATCGGCAAGCAATGGCAGAAGGCTGTTTTGCGGGGTTTTTTTGTATGCTACATGTATAATAAACTTCATAGTCCAGGACTGGCAACATAGTGTCTCTCATCAGCAGTAAGTTAATTCAGTTGTAATGGCAAACAAAACACGGTGAGTGAAACATCCAGTTCACAGATCATACCCTAACAGAAGTTAATACTATTATGGTATTTTGGACTGGTGATAAATACGCAAGCCCTTAAAAGGACAGAAGAGCACAACGTGCTCTTCAGAGGTCCCAAACCAAGCCACAACTTTCTTCTGAAGTGCCACACCGTATGTTAAAAGAACACACAAATAGATGAGACTTTTTTTTCTTCTTTTTTTTCCCAACCCAGAACTTGGCTGGATCTCAAAAGTGCATGTGAATCGACCTGCAGTTGTGAGGCATGCAGAACGAATTAAAAAATGGAGAACTGTGAAAGGTAATTGGCAAGTAAGTGCTCTTTTTATGCATTCTGTTCCTGTATTTTTAAAGCAGTCACTCTCCCTCTCCAGGCTGCAATATTGAATTTTTTTCAAGATGCATGTAACCTTAAAAGATGTGCTTGTCCATGTCTTATTTTAATAATTTGTATTTGATGATGATGGGATGGAATAAGGTGACGCATTTATCCAAACAAGTTAAAAACCTTGTAACTCATGAGTGGCAAAACCACAAATGAATTTAAGTCATCTTTATTCATGAGTGGATTAAATTGTATATTACTATCCCACCACATTTATTCTGTTTCCCAGACAGACTTCTCTGCACGCTGCCTTCTTATTTTTTAATTTTAAAGCTGTAAGATATGATCGTGGTCCCTGTCAAGTTTGACCTACCTGGATGATTTTTCTTTACTTAAACATCCCCAACATGTGTGATTTCTTTGCTTAACTAGTTCTTACCTAAAACTCAAAAATACTGACTGGCTATGGCACTGGGGGGGGGAAAGGAAAAAAAAAAAAAAGAAGAAAGGAAAAAAAAGAGGCTACTAATGTTAAGGGGGCTTTCTTAACTCCTGAGATAAGGTAAAAGATCAGTTATTGTCCATCTTAGTATAAAATAGGTTCATGTAAGCCACTGCTAAAGCTAGTGGTGAAAATGAGCTTTTCTTCAAGGCTATCTTGTATTCATTGAACACACACGCTTAATGTGTTAGCAGTTAGTCAGCCTCTGCTGTTTACTGCCCCCCTGGCAGAACTGGCAGATACTGGCCTGGTGTGCATTTTGGTTTCTCCAGTTTGCACATCAGAATCATAATGCAAAGCCATTAGGTCAGCAGTGTAAGCTAATACCTTCTGCAAAGCAGGGCGGGTGAGGCACAGCCATGTGCTGGTTTCTGCTGCCTCAGTGGCAGAACGGGAAGCGCTGAGAGGGGAATGGCAGGCAGAGCTGGCTGCAGGATGCTGTAAGTACTTCGACAGCGTTTAGCCAAGGGCAAGGTCTGAGAAATGCCGTGGAGCAGACCCAGAGCTCCCAGCGAGCTCTCAGCCATGGGGCTGTAACCGGTGTCCAAAGGACAAGTTGATTCTTCGTTCACCAAACAGCTGTTCTGCAAGCAAATGTGTGTGATTCCTCCCCTCTGCATGCTAAACAAATTGTTTACTTGCAACAGTAACTGTTAACGTGGAAGCAGGAGGAAGGAGACACTCAAGGATCAATCTTAACAGTCCAACGTAGTAGAACAAAGCAAGAATTATTTAATTATACTTAATTCTTCAAAAAACTGTTCAAAATAGTTGGTATCCTGAGCTTAGCATGTTGGGCAGCCATTCTGGGGTGGCTGAAGCTGCGTTCGCAATGAGCACGGATTTTGTGGATGACAGTTTGGGGATAATTTGATGTAGCTGTGCGAGATCCTACTGGAAGGTGATAGAAAACAACTTCCTGCCTGTTACATGAACCTGAAAGTCTGTGCTTTGAATGTTATGATTACATAAAAAATGGACATAAACTGAGGAAAGTTAGACATTAGCTCAGCATTTCCCAAGAGTTTCTTACACATAAAAAGTCACTTGATCTAGTTGAAGATGTCCCTGCCCACAGCAGGGGGGTTGGACTAGATGACCTTTAGAGGTCCCTTCCAACCCAAACTATTCTATGATTCTATTCTATGATACCAAGTCTAGCAGTCCAGTGGCTCTGGGTGGGGAAATAGTGTCAGTGAGAAAATCCAGAGGGTATTCCATAACCTTGGCTATCTTCAGATACTGCAGGTGCAGTAATCTAAAACCAAACTATTTATGATTCTATTCTATGATACCAAGTCTAGCAGTCCAGTGGCTCTGGGTGGGGAAATAGTGTCAGTGAGAAAATCCAGAGGGTATTCCATAACCTTGGCTATCTTCAGATACTGCAGGTGCAGTAATCTAAAAAGTAAGTCTTCTGATTTGACAGAAGTTACTATATAAAGAACAAAGGAATAGAGAGCCACAGGCTTTGATTACAAAGAATCATTGGGAAGAAAGGGATTTCGTGTCACTCCCTCAACATGGCTGTAGGACAAATGTTTAATTATTACTAACACTTCTTCACTCTCCTGTGTAGTAACACTGGTACTGAGCTACTCGAGTGAGGTTTTACTTTGAAGAATGCCAAGAGATTATTTTCAGAAGCATCTCTCCTGTGTTTGAACACTGTCATTGCAGTCATGATAGTCATGTGCTATTTATTTCACAGAGATGATTCTGAACCTTTACATGTTTGAATGTAAGTAGCACCACAGATTTAAATTTTGAAGCCCATTTCCCAAAATACTCATTTGAAAAACCCTTTTAAAGAAAATGAAGTTCATACCAGTTCTTGGAACTCCGTGACTACATCTGTCTTGATGACTTTATGATTCATGTTATAAGAGATGAGACAAAAATTCCCTCAAGTAAAGGATATAAAAATCCAAGTAAAAGAAACTTAAAACCATTTAAAGTGAAAAACCTTTCTGAAGTATTATAGGGTGAAAGTAGAAACCAGTTAGAAAGAAGCAGTCAAGCTTAGACTAACAGAGGCCAGTAACGGTTCATTCTGTGTTTAGTCACACCAAAGTAGCTTTCAGTGTAACATTTACTGCAAGTTCAGAAAGGAGACTCCCATCAGCGAAGTGTGAAAGGTTTGTAGGCTGGCCAGCATCTTCAGATTTGCAGAGTAATACCTCTATGAAGAAACAGCAAATTTTGCTGCCTATACTGACAAATCCTGTCACAGAGCAGAGCAGTCAGGGAGGGACTTCACGGACTCAAGTGGACTTTGCTGTTGCAAACTCTCCCCTTGTTGAACAAGTGCCCACTAAGAGATGTCAGCTTTCAGTGAAGCCATCACTGTAAATGAGAATTTGCTGGAAGATCTTCATCAAATATTTCAAAATAATGTCTTAATCTCAATTTTTGTTCAGCAAAAAATCTCAAAAAATATTTAGTTGTGCTTCTGTTCCATTCCATTCTCCAATTAGTCTTTTAAAATTCCATAGCATTTTCATCTAAAGAGTGCTTTAGCCCTGTCACTTAGCTCTTGCTTTTGGTTTTTGCACCAAATAATTACACATTTTTTTATTCCTGATTCACACAAAAGAAAGTGGAAACATCTAGAGTCTAGACCCTAAGTTTTAAGAAGTCTGGGTTCTTACCCCCCACTGATTCCACGTTTCACTCTCACAGCAGGAGAAGCATGCAAACATGCAAGTGTGCAAATTGCTGATGTGTACACTCATCTGGTTATTGGCAATTGCAAACCTGTGCTCCTCTTGAAGCACGTGTACAATTTTTTGTGCATGCAAGCTTTGAAGATACAGACATACTATATAGAACGGAGCATATTATAACAGTGAGGTTCCTCACATAGGTGATGTTTTTATCTTTGTCTTATAGAATTGAATTTGAAACAAGATGCTTTTTGTCCAGGTAAAAATGTTTGTCTGATTCTTAGAGTCCCATTTGGTAGTTAGCTTTCACACCAAAAATTGGAATTCGATCCTTTGAGAGAGCTGACTTTTGATTCCAAATCCTTTCTGTGCCATTAGATACTGCTCAAGACATAAACAAATATCTGCCGTCCCTGTCTGTCATAAACCATTCTTTACATATCCTCCATGTTATATCCCATACGTTTCCTTATTCTTAGAGTGAGAGCCAGGCTTCTGATTCCTGCATCTTCTAAATCAGTTTGGTTTTGGAAGTGTAAACTGAAATATTGTATTCCTCGCTTCACTCCCTGTGTAGGCTGCTTGGCTGCTGAAAGCTGTCACCTGCATAGACCTTACCACTCTTTCAGGCGATGATACTCCTTCAAATGTTCACAGACTGTGTTTTAAAGCAAAGCATCCCATCAGAGAGGACCTGCTGAAAGCCTTGGATATGCATGATAAAGGTACGATTGGTTTTGTTGTGTGTGTTGTGTAGAGAAAATGTCTGCATTTCCTCAGTATTTTTTCAATTTTCAGATACATGTAAAAACGGCCTCCTCTTTCTATAATGGAAGCAGTTATGGTAGGCAGAGCTGCAGAGCTAATAGTCCTGAGAGAACAAACTAGGTCCTGTATGGCCTTATTCAAAGCAACTGTCTTAAGTTCTAACTGCAAAATATCTATTCCTTTGAGTTAATATAAGAATACAAGGAGAAAAAAGTCTGTTCTCAGTTTGGCAATCAAAGTGAAGCATGGACTCAGGGCGACACTGTAAGTTATGATACCTGATGAGCAAATTTGATATGGAAGCCACAAGTGTGCAACCTCAGTGAATGTCTTTTAATAACAGTGCACAAAGGTGAAACTAATTGAGTATTCTGTTAATCTGCTGATGTCCTTACTAAGTTGGAGAAGTGGGGAGTGTGACTCCTTTGGATTTCATACTTAGCTGCTGTTGCTGTATGTAACTACCGAGCCTGCCGCTTTGCCCGTCAGAAAAGATGCATTCCACAGTCCTAAGCATGTTATTTTTGCTTCAGAAAACATTACCTGTGACCTGCTTGTTTCAGTAGTTAAGATAGGAGACATCTTTGCAGCCCAGTCTACTTTAAGGAATCAGTCCTGCAGTGAGTGTATGTGGTTGTGTGCGTATCACGTATGTACACACTCATGCGTGTACACACACACACTTACACACACTTCCCAGCTAAGTCAGCAGAGTTGAAGGGGCAGAAGACAGCCCTTAAGAACTAGTGGTAAAACTTTCATTGATATTACTCAAGCAGGCTCCATCTGAATTCCCAATGTTACACCCAAGACTGAACACGATTCAACTTCAGAGCAAATTGAGACTGTCAATGTAACTATCAATAAAACCTCTTTATACCTGAGCAGTTCTTCTGAATTTTTCCAGATGTAATCACTGATGTGTCAGTGAGTAGCATTTGACTTTTGTCCTGTCATGTTGGCCTTATGATGATCTATCAAAAACAAAAGCAGGGACATTTGGGGCATGCTTTTACTATTGAAATATTTCAGTTTTACATGGGCATTGGTCCACCAATTGAAGTCATGTGAGGTAAAACCAAAGAGGAATCAGACCTCTGGTTTTAAGCCATACACATAAAATATCAAAGATTAGTCTTTTTTTAAAACTTGGATTTATGGACTCTTCAAACGGTTGAAGTATTAAATACGAGGTCAATTATCTGAGACTTTGAGAGAATAGCATTTTAACTAGAAATGCAGTAGGACTGCATTAACATAAAGACTGCTCAGTTGCTGCTGGGCTCAGTCTGGCTCAACAAGTAAGGACAGAGCTTGGCAGTGCGGTTTCTCTCACAGTAATTTGCTGACTAAGCATGTCTTAACTGTACATGGTGGCATTAAACAGTGAATCTGTCGATAAAAATCTTGGTGTTTTAATTCCTGCTAATGCAAACTTGCTCCCAGGGTCAGCTGAAAGAACATGAGGGAGGTAACAATATGGAGAATCACCTGAACTGCTTGAACAATAAAAGAGATATCCCTGCTATAGGTGCTTAAAATCCTTGTGAGAATGCAGAAGTGGGAGGTGCAAACAATGCACACATGCTCATAATATGGATTGCACCGGAGAAGGTGGAAATCTATACATATGAAAAAGTGAACTGTGGCTTTTGCAGGTATTACTGTCGGAGCAGTTTGTGTATATCCCGCAAGAGTCACCGATGCTGTTAATGCCCTAAAGGCTGCTGGCTGTAACATACCAGTAGCTTCAGGTATGTTTTATTCTGAAATATCCAACTAAATATTTTGATGCTGTAAAATATGTAGAAAAATCCAGAAGTTTGGACTTGCTTTTGTTGCAGAGAGTAAGGTAAAAAGGTAGCAGGTGGAAGGAAGGGAATGGAGGGGAGGATTTGCTTCTGGTATAATCTTTTGTTTTCTTTCAACTTCAAGCTTATCAGCAATGCCAAGTCTGTTTTGCTGGAAGCTCTTCAAAGAGGTCCTTGAGATCTATCAGTATTTCCCTCACCCAAATAGAAGAAATTGCAATAGTGTGCAGGAGAAAGTATCAGTAGACACTAAGTAGATAATAAAACTGCAATATGAGATTTTAGGAGTTCTAGTACAAGTTTCTTTCCTTATCAATTGTTTGGCTTTTAAGTATAATCCTACAAGCTGAATTCGATGAAGCTGTGTGCAGAGGCAAGGGTTATTGCCTGCTGAGCAGCCCACAGGTTTAGGACTTGTACTTGCAAATCTAATAGTGGCAGCTTTTCTCCAGTCACCACACACAACAGACAAGTCCTGAATCTACAATAAGCAAGAAGTAGTATCAAAGAATTATGCAGGTTGGAAGAGAGCTCTGGATGTCATCTGGTCCAACCTCCTGCTCAAAGCAGGGGCTAACTTTGAAGTTAGGTCAGGTGTTTAATGCTAAGATCCATGTTTTCTGGTTTTGGGGGTTTTGTTGTTGTCAAAGAATTTGCAGGTTGGAAGAGAGCTCTGGATGTCATCTGGTCCAACCTCCTGCTCAAAGCAGGGGCTAACTTTGAAGTTAGGTCAGGTGTTTAATGCTAAGATCCATGTTTTCTGGTTTTGGGGGTTTTGTTGTTGTTTCATTGTTGTGTAGAGAAAAATACATGCTAAATGCATTTATATGTCAGAGAGAAAGAGGATCTTTGTCAGAGATCCTCTTTGTCATTATTTCTTCCATTTCCAAAGTTACCTTTGGGTTTTGTACTTAAACATTATAAAGGTAATCTTAAGTAGACCTCATTGAAAACAATTTTTGCTGTATTGTGATTTAGCTGTTAAACATATTACTGGGATTTAACTTGAAATACTACTTAAAAGAATTGGGGGGAATGAAAAATGTGTGTATTGCTTCATATATGAGTTCACTCCTTGTTTGCTCAATTCTGCTGGAGGCAATAGATATTGTGCTTTCTTATGAAGGCTGCTTTGGAAAAATTTAAGGCATGTGAAAGAGTCCTTTTTGCAAGATGCACTTAGTATCTTGTTGGGCGTTGGTTCTTGAGGGAAGAGCAAATGCTTCTTGTGGATGAAGAGAGAGTAGGATGAGGTGCCTTTAGATTTTTTTGAATTGTGGTAGGGTTAAAAAAAGGAATAACTTTCAAACTCTTTGGTGTATTAGAGGTATTTGCAATTTTATGGTCAATTTATAAAATGTTTTCTTCCCTCTACCTGCATCCTCTTTCTTGCTAGTGGCTGCTGGGTTTCCATCTGGACAAACTTCTCTAGAAACCAAACTGGCTGAAATAAAGCTAGCTGTGGAATATGGTGCCAGAGAGATTGACATTGTCATTAGCAGGAGTCTGGTGTTGACTGGCCAGTGGGAAGGTAAGTACCCACCCTTCGGCAAGGAACCTAAGCCTGTGTACGTGCACGTGCAAGCTCTGTCTTTGTCTCTTCCCCAGTCTCCACATCAGTCCTTGAAGAATTTGGTCCCTCCCCTAAGAGTGACTGATAACCTGGGGCACTGAACTAAATAACAACTATTTCGCTAATTTATGACTAATGGTTGGATTTTTTTAAAAGAATGCTGTTACAAGTTCTGTCAGGTTGGGTATTCAGAATGACTTTGTGTTTTCGAAAATTTGGGTCTATTCCTTCTGTGCCGTTAGAGGATTTTGTGTACAGGATTGAAAAAATAGCAAGTGGAATGGAAGTGAATGCCTATGGTCTAATTATTTGAACAGTTCTGTTAAAACCCCCAAGGGGCTGCTAATGTAGATGATACCTTGTTAAATACACGTTTCAATTCTTGACAAAAATATGTATTTTAGCTGTTTTCTTTTCCCTGGAAGTTGAGGGTACAAATTGACTGTTCATATTATTATTGATGTTCTTGTGCCTGTAGACTACTACTAATTATAAGAACAATAATGCTGAAGATGGTTTTTGCTCTAATTGCCTCCTTAATGTACTGTGAATGGTTTGCCTTAAGTGCTGACAATGCTCCTATAACTAATCTCCATGTGAAGGTAAACACATCATTGTCTTGGAATGAATTTTCCATTTAGTTGTATAATGCATTGCCGTAATAGCCTGTTTGCTTGGAAGAGTTTATAAAGGACCCCTGGTACCTGAGTTTGGTTAAGGAAATGCAGTCATCGTGGTAACAGATCATATTTTCTGATTTTGGTCTTCCTTCAATTAGCAGTTAGAATTGAACCAAAAACCAGGTTTCTGCATCTGTGTCTTCAGGACTGATATCCTGGTTTCCACTTGCTCTAACATCTTGGCCTCTTTTGTAGTATTTACCATCTCCATTCTTTTGCTCTTAAATATATGCAGCTTTACAAATGTTTGACTTCTTGAGGATGGGCATTGTTGCAGACATTTGTTTCTTTCAGACTGGCTATTTTAAGTTGAGTTATGGCCCCAGAAATTGCTAGAACATGGAGACTGTGTGATTGAGCAGTTTTAAATAAGACAGAATGATGGTCAAATTCTGTACCAGCTGCAAGACTATACACACACCTTCCTATGCTGTATCTTTGTTAGGTTCTACGCTATGGTCTACAAAGCAGGTACCCCCTCCAGGAGCTGTGCTCCGCTGGGAACACGTATAGGTCTTGGATACAAAATGATCTGTCATTTGTGACAGTCAGTGATCTGTCACCAAGACTAAAAAAAGACCACTAAACTGGACTTGAGCAGCAACTTGCAATTGTGTCTGAAAAAGTCTGTCTTGCAGCAATTTCTGACATAATCGTGGTTACCATGCTTCAGACTTTGTGGTACAAACCACTGTTAAGTGCAGGTTGTATAGAGCAGAGATCAAAAAGTTAGTGCATGCAGGCAGTTGCAAATGCAGGCTCGAGGTTATATTGCCCAGGATTACGTGAAGGAGAACTCAGAGGAGAAATACAGGGCTAGATTAAGAGAGAAAGTTTGTATCAGTGATTGAGATGAACCAGACATACATTTCTAGGTTTTTCTATATGGGAAACAAATTGTCTTCTGTGGTCATAAATTACAGCGGAGGAGTACATAGACATAGCAATGATGGATGTAGTATAAAGCTGTCAGTTTGCTAAATAAGTAAATTAGGGATGACTTTTGATTTGGTATGCATATTCTTTTATCCACAGCTGAAGTCATGACAAGGTTTAAAGCCATCCTTTTTCAGCAGTGGTTAGTTTACATTTCTTTTACTGAGGGCAGAATTGCAATTATTTCCAAATGTTTTCTGAAAGTTTGTTTATGAATGTGAATCTGTGTATGGCACATACTTACATGGTCTTGAAAAAAGCTACCTCTGAAACAGAATTTACTTGCCATCCAGATAATGATGCTACAGGGTGAAAAATTCTAATATTTAACTTGCCTGTCCAAAAAAATTACTTCAGCAGGTGGTCTGAATATTTTGGTGAAAATCTAGTGTTCTGACTTCATGTTTAGCTTTCAATAGAGATATGTTACCTGTGTGAACATGCAGCTTTCCACCTCTGATGATTAGATATGATACATAACAATGTATAAAGTATGTTTAAGGAAGCTAGAAGGGATGAAGAAGTCTGTTTTAGGCTGGATTCCTACATAAAATTGAAAAAGTCTAGTGCGGTAACTATGCCTGTGTTCAAGGTACTTCATCAACTAGAGCCGCCTTGCAATTATGACAGAACCTCTGCTTATGCTTATAACTCTAGTATATTTTTATTGTTATTTTCTCATGCTGCCTGTCTTCACAACTTCAGGAGTTATTGACAAAAATACGTATGTGGTAGAGTGCTGTATCTTACTGTTCATATATTTTTAGCTTTTCTTCTAGCCTGTGCAATAATTGGGGTCACCATTATAGAATAGTGTTGCTTTGTGATTTGTTTCAAAGGCTTGTTTGGTTATTAAATATTTTAGTGTATGCCCCGTTATGTCACGTTATTTTAAAGCAGTTCTTAAATATTGTTGGAACTCTTTATGACACTCAGAATGTATTTGCTACATCTTTACAAAGGCAGTTTTAAATAAGACAGAATGATGGTCAAATTCTGTACCAGCTGGCAGCAAGACTATATACACACCTTCCTATGCTGTATCTTTGTTAGGTTCTACGCTATGGTCTACAAAGCAGGTACCCCCTCCAGGAGCTGTGCTCCGCTGGGAACACGTATAGGTCTTGGATACAAAATGATCTGTCATTTGTGACAGTCAGTGATCTGTCACCAAGACTAAAAAAAGACCACTAAACTGGACTTGAGCAGCAACTTGCAATTGTGTCTGAAAAAGTCTGTCTTGCAGCAATTTCTGACATAATCGTGGTTACCATGCTTCAGACTTTGTGGTACAAACCACTGTTAAGTGCAGGTTGTATAGAGCAGAGATCAAAAAGTTAGTGCATGCAGGCAGTTGCAAATGCAGGCTCGAGGTTATATTGCCCAGGATTACGTGAAGGAGAACTCAGAGGAGAAATACAGGGCTAGATTAAGAGAGAAAGTTTGTATCAGTGATTGAGATGAACCAGACATACATTTCTAGGTTTTTCTATATGGGAAACAAATTGTCTTCTGTGGTCATAAATTACAGCGGAGGAGTACATAGACATAGCAATGATGAATGTAGTATAAAGCTGTCAGTTTGCTAAATAAGTAAATTAGGGATGACTTTTGATTTGGTATGCATATTCTTTTATCCACAGCTGAAGTCATGACAAGGTTTAAAGCCATCCTTTTTTCAGCAGTGGTTAGTTTACATTTCTTCTACTGAGGGCAGAATTGCAATTATTTCCAAATGTTTTCTGAAAGTTTGTTTATGAATGTGAATCTGTGTATGGCATATACTTACATGGTCTTGAAAAAAGCTACCTCTGAAACAGAATTTACTTGCCATCCAGATAATGATGCTACAGGGTGAAAAATTCTAATATTTAACTTGCCTGTCCAAAAAAATTACTTCAGCAGGTGGTCTGAATATTTTGGTGAAAATCTAGTGTTCTGACTTCATGTTTAGCTTTCAATAGAGATATGTTACCTGTGTGAACATGCAGCTTTCCACCTCTGATGATTAGATATGATACATAACAATGTATAAAGTATGTTTAAGGAAGCTAGAAGGGATGAAGAAGTCTGTTTTAGGCTGGATTCCTACATAAAATTGAAAAAGTCTAGTGCGGTAACTATGCCTGTGTTCAAGGTACTTCATCAACTAGAGCTGCCTTGCAATTATGACAGAACCTCTGCTTATGCTTATAACTCTAGTATATTTTTATTGTTATTTTCTCATGCTGCCTGTCTTCACAACTTCAGGAGTTATTGACAAAAATACGTATGTGGTAGAGTGCTGTATCTTACTGTTCATATATTTTTAGCTTTTCTTCTAGCCTGTGCAATAATTGGGGTCACCATTATAGAATAGTGTTGCTTTGTGATTTGTTTCAAAGGCTTGTTTGGTTATTAAATATTTTAGTGTATGCCCCGTTATGTCACGTTATTTTAAAGCAGTTCTTAAATATTGTTGGAACTCTTTATGACACTCAGAATGTATTTGCTACATCTTTACAAAGTAATTGTTAAGAGCTTTTTAATAGTGCTGAACATGAAAGCAGCTCTATTGGACAGTTAACTTAGCTTGGAAAATAACATTAAATGATTTAAGTTTATGAACTTGTATACCTTTTACAACGTCTTAGCTTTTAGAGCAATATTACTTTACTACAGTTTACTCAACCATTGTCTTGTATCACTTGACAAAGTATGTATTAAGCTTAAAAATCACAATTTAGTGTCTTTAAGCCCAGAACGTGGAGCCTGTTTGTAAAGAGTGATGAAGTTGACCAAGAAATTGTCAGTTATCAATGAGTGTGTTGGAGTTGCTCTACCTTCTGAAGCTGCCTGGGGTACCGTAATGTTACTTCTCGTTCCGCAGCTTTTAGCAAACATCTGGACATACCACAGTGTCAGCAGCTTCAGAGGTCTTGATAACCTATCCTTTGCTCTGTGTCAGTTGAAGTTTCCTACAAGAAAAGAGAAAAAAAGAAGTATACTCTAAGAAGTTTTAACACAGCTGCATCCATGAAATACATTAGGTATAACCTCGTTACGAAAGCTGCCTTTCAGTTCTTCTTAGTAATTATTCAACTGTGCGTTTAGAGGCTTTGTTCAGGGATTGGGGCCCCCTTTTGTGCTACATGCCTTATAAACAGGGCAGGGAAAACACACTCCGCACTCCAAAGACTTGGAAAAGACTCCACATGTTGTTCAGAAATATTATAGTTGGATTTACCGCTTTCTAGATGTGCAAGCTGACTTGGGACCGCAAAATCGAATTGCACAATTTCTTTCTTATATTGTCAGCAGCAGCTCAGACTCCTGAAGCCAAACTCTGTTTTCAGTTTCATGTGAATCACTGGAGCCTGGAGTTGCACATATGTGGCTGAGAGCAGAACTGAAAGAGTCGTGTTGTGCCGATAGCCTTGTGCTTGTCATTTTGTTAACAAACCTGCCATTGATGTGCAAGACAGAAGGGATTCCAGCTCATTTTCCAGTTTCCCATCATGATTACCTTGATCTTTTGGTCTTAACAGAAATTGAAACATCTTCCCTCCTCGTCTCAGTTTCTACCCTTAACATCAGTCAATGTGACTGACTAGATAAAAACAGCAAATAAGCTGAATTTAAAAAAAAAAAGTGTTTTTGATCACTGCATTTTTGGAGAAAAGTTGTTTCATGAAAACTTAAGCTGTGTTTTTTTCCCCTTAATATTTTCATTTCCTGTGTAGGAGATATGGTTTATCCCCTTTATTATGTGATTTTTAGGACAAATGTATTAGACCAAAGCAAAAGGCCATCTAGACAATCTAGGGCAGATTATAGCCAGCAGTAATTGTCAGGGAGGTTTGCCTGAGAGATGTGTTAGGGGGAGGCACGTTTTCTGTGGTGCATTTAATAGCTGCAAAAAATCAATGTAATGTTTGTACTGAATAGTTAGACTTTTAGGAAAACTACAAAAAAGCCACCTTCCAATACTTATCTTTCGTAACAGTGGAATTAAAACCACAGCTATGAAAGCATTGTTTTCATTCCTATAAAATCTGAATTTTTCTTACTTTAATAAATGCATCCAATAAAAGCAGATCTAACGTTCAGGAAAGCAGCAAGGTATCTTAAGTGGGGGCAAAGTAGAAGAGTTCTTATGTGACATCCATTTTAACAGCTAAGTCAGTAGAGCCACTACAGACTACATCAGTGAGCATCTGGCTCCAAATATATTCTAGGTAAGTTGGCTTGCTTTGGGTTTTGTTTTTTTTTTGTTTGTTTGTTTCCTTGTTTTTCCTGGCTTAAGGCTTAGACTTCTTTTAGAATGGATAGTGTTGGTGTGTTGGTGCTGTGTTCAAGATGCTACACAGTATTGGCCATTTGCTTTGAGAACTCTTGATTGTCTTTTCCCTGTTTTTAGCAGTCAGAAGGAGAATCTCTTGCAACCTCTTCATGGTGGTCCTGTGAAATATGAAAATATGCCTGCGGGGTTTTCTGTGATAGAGGTTTTTCCCAAAAGCTTTCTGCCACTACTGCTAACCAGAGAAGCTCTATCTGCTGTGTCAATTACTGGTGTTCTGCACAGGTTGCAGATATTCCCAGAACCACAGTGTCCAGCTCTGCTTCTGCTACTGATCGGCTTGACAGAACCAAGTAGTTTAGTGATGGACTTTTTGGTAGCGCAGACTGTCCCAGAAGAAGCCCTGGACCCCTTGAAATACTGAGTGCATTTTCAAGTGTGATTAACTCCACCCATACTTTAGATGTTTTCCAGGAAGTTTCAGGATAATCAAGTTACTTGTGTGTTGATTTAAACCTGACTGAGTACTGAAACCTCTTTTTTATTTTTGAAAGGAGTTTTTGCGCTTGTTCCGTATCAAAGCAGTCCCTGCTTGTACTGGGACTGGGGTGCTCTGGTTAATTTTCTCTGTCCCAGAGGTAGTTGCATTTCTATTTGTGCTTCTACTGTCGGGCTGAGAATGTCCTATGAATGCCAGCTATTGTCTGCAATAATTGGTCTCTGAATAAAGGGCCGTATTTATTACCTACACACCTGCCCCATTAAAGTATGCCCACTTTTCCACCACCTCAGCTAACCTGATAGACACGGATGATTGAAGATCCTCGGTTGTTCCTGTCTGTGGGTTGATGTGTGCTGTCAGATAGTGAGACTGTTCAAATGATCTTGGTACTAACTGTATCTAAAAGTACCTTCCAACAATAGGGAAGATGCTGTAGCTGCGGTACTAACTCCAGCGAACAGTAGCTATGAGGATATAATTTCTTTTCATGGAATCCAACCTAAATGTACATTTTGTTGATTTTATTTTGACATTTTTGTTGGTGTATCTTAAAGGTAGAGAAAACTCGAGTCTTTTCTTCTTGTTATTGAAACTAGAAGAACATGAAAGCTGCTTTCTCTGGCTTTCCAAAAGCTTTAGGAAAGAGTCACTCCACAAAAAGAGACTGCATTTGGATCTAACATGAGCAGTGTTACCAAATGCACAAGAAAATAGCACAGGTTCTTTGTATTTCCTTTTTGAGTCTCGATTTGATGTAGGTTTCTGGAGTATCATCAATTGATCAATAAAACATGTTAGGCTGCATGCTAGTACTGATTAATTCACACCTTTGGTACACAGTAAGAAACAAGGTGAAGCCTGGTGTCTATAAAGTGACTTGCTAAGTGCATTAGCCAGTTGTCTACTGTGTGTAGTACGTCTCAGAGCACCACCCCAGCAATCCTAGCCCCGTCTACCTGGTGTGCTGATGGCATCAGTAGGATGCGGCAGCATCATGGGTGGAGGGGAGGTCCAGCCGTACGGCAGCTGGCAAACCCTACTGTGTGTTTCCAGGTCTTGCTTGAGGACTGAGGAGAAAAGAAAGCTAGTATTGCTGAAAAAATTTAGTCTCCGTAGCCATATCCTGGACTTTTTTAGCAAGAAAGATTTGTTAAAAGCTGTATTTTAGCCTTCCATAAACAAACTTTTCAATTATGTGTTTGAAGATTGAATACAATTCGTGAAAAGGACTCTCTTGCAGAGGATCCTGTTTGCTTATTTTATGTCTTTTTTTTTAATTCAAATCCCAGAAATGGTGACTGTACACTGTAAGTGCTGCTTTTCTCCCCACCATTAACACTGGATGACTCTTAATCATCCCCAAGTGGCCAGCTTCTAACAGCTATGTTTTGATAATTTCTAGCTATTTTAAGCTCCCTATGTTTAAAATTTTGTGGGAGCACTGCTGAATTTTACCAAAAAAAGGGTGGGAGGGTTTCCCTGTGCTCCCTGTGTTGCATTACCTGACCGGATCTGCAAGTTCTAGCCTTTTTTTAAAAAATGCAGTTGGTTATGTCCAAATTTATTCCAGTCCTTACTGAGTCTGTGAAAATATAAAACTGTTAGAAAGTTAAGCATGCCTCTGGCCATGACACTTTGTAGATCCGAAAGCAGTAGTTTGTGAGGGGGTGGTCTGCTCTGGACAATGTCTGTGAGCAGCCAAATGCTGGCCTGTCCTCCCTGTCCCTGCTTCTCCCTGGCTGCAGCCGGTGGCCGGCTGGTTGAGTGGCAGTTCACCAAGAAGCGGTGAGCAGGTGGGATGCGTGCTGGTTTGTCTTAGGGGCGTGCTGACTGCTTGGAGATGAGAGCTAAGGAGAGCTGAAGGTCAGAAGACAGACTGACAGCCAGAGGCCCTCCAGAGGCGGTGGAGCTCTCTGTGGGGAGGGAGGGGCAACCCCAGGGCAGGGTTTGCTTTTTGTTTTTCAAGTGGTGTGAAGATACAGTGGTCTGCTTTATCTCTGATCTGAAAGCCTTGATATAAGTCAGTCCTGCTGGCTGTGTCAGTGCAAGTGGCAGTGCTTGTCTGTATAACAGTGGCTCGTGACAAACCTCCTTCCTGATCTCCAGCCGGCTGCCTCAGCAAGCGTGGGCATCAGAAGCGAGGGTCCAGCTCTGCCCTTGGAGCTGTAGCTCCACAGCATGCTAGGCAGATGATGTCCTGCTGGCCCTCCTGCCGCGTTGCCTCCTTCACCCTTGCTGGGGCCGTCTGAGGTCATGGCACAGGATGGTCCAAGTTCTCGGTAACCTTGTGGGCAATGCAACTACTTGAGGTGGTTCGTAAACACAGATCCATGTGGATTTGCTGGTCCTTAGGGTGTGATCCTAGGCCTCCGTTTCTCCTCACCAGGGATATTAGCAGACCGCATTGATTTTTTCAGGAAAACCTTAGTTTCAAGAAGCTTAAAGTGGGATTCAGATGCCTAAACACAGGCATCTAGCTTTATAATCAGACTTCCTGAGATGGTCCCATGGTACTAGGGAAAACAGTAGGAGACCGAAGGGAGATGTGGAGCCTCCAGGAGTGGCAGCTGGAAGCCAAGGGGGATATGTCATGGCATCTCAGGTGGCACTAATATTTGTAATTAGACAACCTGGTCACACCTTTGGTGTCTTTTAGGCTAAGCCGTTTGGCAAATGTGGCTGAAGGGGACAGAGAGGGTGATGACGTGATGTGGACAGGAAAACATAACTGTCCCTGAGTACTGATTAAATGTACTACCATACTTATTGCTGAAAAAGCTGTTTTAAAATCAATCTTGACTATCATAGCAGTTTTTACTCCTGATGTATTCATGAGTGTTTGGCATACTGTGCACATTCTTAGTTTTGGGAGAACCGACACTGATAGCTATTAAGTTAAGTCTGAAACTGTGTGGCATTGTTAATTACCTCCAGTCATGTAATTTATTGAACTTACAAAACTTAAGTTCTTGAGTGCTATGACTAATTATAAGATTGGAAGTTAATCCAGAAGTGGAAATTACAGCCATACTTGAAAATGTCTCTCAGACAACTTTGATCATTTTCACATGCTTTTATCCACAGGTCTCTATGAGGAGATCCGTCAGTGTCGTGAGGCCTGTGGAGAAGCTCATATGAAAACAATCTTGGCAACAGGTGAACTGGGGTCCCTTGCTAATGTCTACAAAGCCAGTATGATAGCTATGATGGCAGGTAAATATATGTGTTTTTCTTTTTAAGATAAGAATGTCTGTGCTATGTTATTTATGAAGCTTAAAAAATTCTAGTTGCAAAAGTTGTTTTGCCGATAATAGGCAAAAACTGTTATTCAGCAATTACTGAAGTTGCAGGTGTAGTAATGAAGTGTCGCTTGTTTTGTATAACCTAAAAAACTGCATGAAATGTTAAATAACACTTAAAACTGCTAAATGACAAAACTTGTAGGAACAAATATTTGTTGTCAAATGTCTGATCCTTGGTATATTTAATAAGGATATATACATTTGGGGCAGATATGCATATTATCCAGGCAATTGTGGTGAGCTACAGATGTGGTGTAGGTAGATGGCTCGTAAGCTTATTTTAAATGCAGGGGGAACTTCCCTGTAAAGATCCGTGCTGACAGCTCTCGTTTCTGGTTTGCGATCACTTCTTCTAACCACCTCTATACGAGTGCGATTCGGGAAACCAACTGTACTGGACGTGCAATGAGGGGAAGAATACCACGCGCTCCAGCAGGTGCTGGGATGGACTCGGTTATAACTGGTTTTATCTGGCACACTCAAAAGCAGTAGCACTCACTACCGGCAATTAATTGGCGCTTCAAAAGGTGTTCGGTCTTCCCTGTCTTTGAAAACTCGATTACATCTGACCTGATGTTTAGGAGTCTGTCTGTCTTTTAGCCTGAACCTTTCAGCTCAGAAACACATTCCCATGAGCAGTATAGAACTTTTAGGGGCTGCGTATAGTTTGTAGGTGTTACTTTTTTGCATAGCTACAGCCATTGCAGACTGAATGTAGCGAAGCAACCATTTGAGCCCAGATTTACAGCAGTATATTCTCTCTGCAGCTTTGGGCCTGTTCTGGTATAATTTTCCCTAGTTTAACCAGGATTTTAGGACTGTGTTTTAATGCCATCTTTAAGATGCAAAACCGGGAATTGGCTGATAAAGCGATATTCTTTGAACTCTGTTCTAGACACCTCCTTCTTCCACCGTGCTTGAAAGAGGGCTCTTCAAGTATATTGATAGAGAGAAGCGTAAAGATATACTAAGAACCACTTGGGTTTGTCTTCTAAACTTTCTCTAATTTTTTTGTTGATTTTTTTTTTTTCTAGTGTAAGCTCTTCAGACCTGGAATTTCTTCTTATTTTAGAGCAAGAAGGAATCATCCAAGTGTCTTGTCAGTATTTAAATAAATATTCAACTTGCTGCTGACCTCATTGTCTCCTTATATACCACCATGCTTATCTACTTCAAATGGAATGGGAAGCATTTCAACCTTTTCACATGCTCAGCTACAACGTCAGTTAGTATCATTAGATACAGAGGATTAGTATTATGCCAGTACATATTGTTTTTAATTAGAAGAGGTGTAAGAAATACACATTTCCTGTCCTTCAAACTGATGTACTAATCATTATGATTACTTTTTATACCATGGAATAGTGAAAAATTGTAAAAGCATTTTAACATTTTCAGATTTTTTGCTGGTGTAGTTTTTTTGAAATACAGCAGATGGCTCTATTGTTAATGATTTTCCTTGCATAGTTATTCATTTTACAAGATACTTATCCGTCTAAATATGTGCAGTAATTTTCTTACTTCAGCCTCTTGCTTTTTCTTTGTGGATAGGTGTAAAAATAAGAATTAATTGGTGCCCGATGTACATGTATTGAAGGCCAGGTTTTCAGACTGACTTGTCAGAACTGCTTAGAAACTCGAATTCCAGTTGACTTTTGTTTGATCTGCATATTTGTAGCATTTTGGGGAGAAAGTAATTTGGCATGTTATGTTTAAATTCTAGCTTTAGTATCCATTTATTTTTTCAACTGGTGCCATGATTTAAAAGAAAGAAAGAAAAAAAAAAAAAAAACCCAAAGAGGTGATCTTGTGGATATGGCAGGCCCTGGCAACTTTTGTCTGAAGATAAAAAAGCAACACCTCTGATAAACTTGACTCCAGTGATTAGTTTTATGTGGGGACATGAATTACACAGTGTAGTGGATTCAACTGCAAAACTGGCTTTAGAACTCTTTGCTGCTGCTGGCCAATTGCTCCTGTCCTTGACACCAGAATTTGCTGCTCCTTCAGCCGTGCCATTAGAAGTGCTTGTCATGCTGCGTTGTAAACTGAGCTTTCAAAGTAACACAGTTGAAAATTACTCTGGAAATGGGTAACTAGTTTGTTGTGGTTTTTTTTTTTTATTATTTGTTGGCAGTGTTGGTTTTTTTTTTTTTAAATGGTCACCGCCTCAACAATCTGGTTTACAGCCTTGCCTTGCATGCAGCTGTATCAGTGCAACTGAGGACATGGCTGCAGTCCTTAGACTGTTTGCATTTCACAGTGCATGATGTAAGCCTATCATGTAGGAAGCACAAAATCCTAGCCTTACAGATGTTTACATTGCCATTGCTGAGCATGCACACATTCACCTAGATTCTGAAGCACAGAGCCACTAGCTGTGTTGTAACATATATATAAAATATATGTATTTCCCATGTGTCTCATTTGTGAGACTCAGAAGGCTGAGAGAGTAACACCATGCTGATTTATCACTAGCTCCATGGTTAAAAAGCTTGCCTGGGATGTCTGGGACTTGGTCTCTCTGACTGAGGTGGTTCTCCCACACAAGGGTTGATTTTACAGTGTATTTGCTATTAAGGACCTCAGTCCCTCCTGATAAAGTTGCTCTGCTTTGCACAAAGCAATTAACTGAGCAGGGAATACAACCCAGTTGTCTCCTCTCTCAAATAACTTTCCAAAATGTCTATACAGCCTCCTTGTGCTGGCTTGAGGAATTATTGGTGTATGCTGGGAACCACAGCGTGTTACATTTAGTCTGAATCAGCGAGGAGGTGGGGGTTCAGCCACTGGACGTGAGGCCAGCTGCACAGACTTGAAAAGGGATGGTAAAAGGTCAGAAAATGGGCACCTCTGCATTGGCTGGGATTTTAAAAGAATGCTTTTAACCCCAGCTTAGGCTGGGGTGGTGTGCCCATACGCTTTTATATTCAAAGCAGTTTGCATAGGCTATTTCTGTAGGCAAACATCTGTACTCTGAATCACAGCCCTTGCAGGACTCAGCGGAAGCCATTTGCTACACACCAGTGAGTGAGGTTGAGCCCAGTGAGACGTGCAGATCCCAGCAGCGCACTGGAGGCGGAGGCCAGTTGTAGAAACAGTGCTTTGTACAACATGCCTGTGTACAAGATGTTAATGCTTGCATCTGCAAGAACTTGGGAGAAAGTGGCTTCACAGTGAGGTGTGATAATAATTTGCCTTTATTGAAGCATTGGCTCTTGGCTCCTCCCGTGTCTGAAACAGTACCTCCAAAGTACCATGACTACTTTTTCATAGTACCTCCAAAGTACCATGACTGCCCCCTCCAAGCAGGCACTCCTGCTTCAAAAGGAGAAAGACATCAGAATGGGAGCAGGCACACAGTTCTCTTAAATTATTCTAACCACACCTTTACAGACTTGACTGACACACTAAAAATTCTTCTGGAATATTTAAGAACCTATTTCTGAGTGAAAGAGGCTGACAGCCCTCTAAGGACAGTGACTCACCTAGCAAGAATAATCCTTGCAGTGCTAAGGAGGACATAATGGCAGGTAGGATTGCACATCCGTGGCTCTGTGTCACTACTGAAGGAGCACATTGTTTTCAGAAAGCTGACTGGGAGAAAATCTCAGCATTGAATCAAGGAATTTTTGGTCATTGGTTTATAACGTCCACTGCCATTTCTTGAGCTTCTTGAAGTCTTGGTGGTGGTTTGAATACATGAGCTTCTCAAGGGAAACTGACTTCATCTTTGACTCTACCAAACAGCTTCCAGACAATGAGTAGAGCAGACTAATTAGTGGTTTTCACTGTCTGGTGTATACTTGTGTGAGTCACATCCATTTCTACAGGAGACACTCAAATCTGTGTCTTTGTAGCCTCTTGGAATAAACAGTCCTAAGGAACACAAATGGGAGTGCCGGACTCCCCATACCAGTGGGAACTGTTCTATGTTTCTTCATCATGATGTCTTTAAAAAAAAAAACAGGTTCTTGTACACAGTTCTCTTATGAGAGGCCATTTTTTAACTTTTATTTTTTGACACAGACATCAGAAACTGCCAAGACAAGGAAGAGAACTCTTCAGTAAAGGCGTGATTGACTGAACTGCATATTTCAGTCATATATGAGGTTTTTATTTTGGAAAATCACATTTTAACCATATTACCCAATTACAAAATCTTTATTGTTCTGTGTAACAATTCATATTAATTAAGATATGAAGACGGGGGGAGAGGTGGAGGAAGTGATTAAGTAAATGTACTATACTTTAAAAGTGAAAACTTCATCTGTGTCATTTTGACTGTGAAAGCTGGTCTTGATTGTACAGCTCCTTTTATGTCACTCTTTGGGAAGCTAAGGGAAACACAGCAGTGACGTGTGAAAGATACTTGTTTTCATTATATATAACTAAACAAGTACCTGTGGAAAGATCACGAAGGAGTGATGTATGTTCTTCTGCAGCTCTACTAAACGTACGGGTTTAAAACAATTTTTTCATAGGTCATTAAGCAGTTAGTCAAATAAATTGTAAGTTGAGATGCTGACTAATGTAAAAATTGAATTTAGAAAGGGAATGAGTTAGTGCTAAAACAAACTAACTTCTAAAGTCTCTAGCACAAAAAACCCCTGCAAAATTAGCAGAAGATGGCTGAGGCAATAAGGTGTCTGATGCTGATAGTCTAGAAGAAGAAAATTAAAACATATTAAATGTGTGAGCAGAAATTTTTTTAGATGCTTTGATACTGTTCATTCCAAAGTGAACAGAAATAATATAGCCAAACGGTGAAGAAAAGCTGTGTCTTGCAGTTCTCAGGAGAGCCCACTATCAATCCTTCATCCTGATTCACAGGAGTGGTTCTAGTTAATACACACTCACCATTTTCACAGCAAACCTTACCAAAACTTAAAGGCACAAATAGGCTGGCCT